CAGAGAAATTATCAGAACTTTCTATGTGTTATGGGTGGTGACAGCGCCCCCTACCAGCAGCGACCTCCGTTGTCAGCGGTTCATCACCAGGTTTGAAAATGTTCAACTATGTCTGTCAGAATCTTCACTGTTTTACTTCATGTCCCAAATAACGCAGCGTTTAATCAACTCGTTAGTTTGGTTTCAGTCAAGCAGCAGATTAGGACAACGTGGTAGAAAGCTGCAGTTCCTGGAGTGTCCACCAGGAGCCGCTGCAGTCAGTCAGTGTCCAGGTGTGAAACAAACACACCTGAAACCGAACCGGTTTACTGTCTAAGGTGCTCATTCATGAGAGGTGTGCAGCTGGAGACTCGTTCTACAAGTCGACCGTTTAAACGTATTAAGAGTTAAAGTCCTGCAGAAAAGGGGCGTGGCCACTCCGACTGACAGGTGGAGCTGGTGTGGGACGACACCTGGCCTGGTTCTGGTTTAGATCAGAGGAACATCCCAACCCTATCCAGCCGATAATCCGTCAACCGCTGAACTCTGAACCCAGAAACGTTGATCATAAGAAGGTGAAAGGCAGAAACGCAGCCTGGACATGAACCAGCACGTCGACGATGCTTCTGTGAAGACGTTTGAGGGTTTTTATTGATGACTGTTGTTCCAAACTAGAAGTTCATGATGAATCCACTGGATGGAGCAGAATTAACATTAATTTCTAGAATATTTCTGAACTCGTTTGTCTAAACGATGCAGAAGACGACCAGCATGACGAGGAACTGAAGTGACCAAACAGCATCCTGAAGGATGAACGGAGGAGGTGGACCACAGATAAAGATCAGGTGATCTCACAGCTCCTCTTATCGGCTTCACTCTGAGAACAAACTGCTGAGTTCACCAGTTGGTCTGAACGGACCGAGCGCCGGTCCGTCCTGAGGCTCTGCTGCCCCCTGCTGTCGGCTCACGGAGCTGCAGCCTGAACATCCACAAAACAATCAGAACATCTGAAGGTTTCCCAGAACAAGACGTCTGTCGATGCCACTGAGCTGAAGAAACCAGACTTACAGCATCATGACAAAGAGCTTAGCTGGTATCAGAGCTCCACCAGCGTCAGCTTCACACCACAGCTGGTCCAAATCAACAGCAGTGCTCATGATCAGAACCGCGTCTGAGTGAATACTCCAGCATGTAGAAGATCTTTAACCAGAAGGACGCTTTTAGTGATAAAATATGATCATTATTGTTGTCCAGGAATTTTTAAATTCACTATTTTACAAAAAAACATCCATCCATCCATCATCTATACACCGCTTAATCCTCACCAGGGTCATGGGGGGCGGAGCCTATCCCAGCTGACTCAGGGTGAAGGCAGGTTCACCTGGACAGGTAACCAGTCTATCACAGGGCTACACTTAGAGACAGACAACCAAGCACACTCACATTCACACCTACGGACAATTTACAATCACCAATTAACCTCAGCATGTTTCTGGACTGTGGGAGGAAGCCGGAGAACCCGGAGAGAACCCACGCTGCACGGGGAGAACATGGAGACTCCACGCAGGAAGATCCCGGGTGTCCTCACCGGGACGCCAACCGGCGACCTTCTAGCTGCGAGGCAACAGTGCTACCAACTGCACCACCTTGCAGCCCTTACAAAAAAAACAGATTTTTTTTAAAGCACATTATTCCTGAATGACTCAGATTCTAGTTATTTACCTTCATTCCTGACCAGACTGTGACTGGGTCGGTCCTAACCCAGAAACATTAGCTTTAGTGGCTGAAAGTTCTGCTTGATTCAGTTCTGACTCCTCAGAGAAGTCCAGGGGCTCAGATCTGGAAATAACCAGGTATAACCAGAACCATGTGGAATCAGAACCATGTGGAACAAGGACCAGGTGGAATCAGAACCAGGTGACGCCGTTTCTCCGTAGTATTTAATTAGTATCATACACAAGCATGTTTCTATTAAAACACATTATATCAACTGAATCAAACAATAATGTACAAACAGGTTCATCCTGCAGGCCAGACCGACACCAGAACCCTCAGACAGAACCAGCAGCACAACACTCCAGACGGAACCAGAACCTGTGAAGCCTTCCTGTCACTCTGTTGTAATAACAATGATACCAGGATCAGATGGAAGCTGCTGAACCGAGTCTCTGGGACGAAGAACGACTCTGTGAGTAGAACCAACTGATTTTATTCAGAACTTTTTGGGTCACGCCTCAGAACTGAGGAACGTTTTAAGACTTTGGTGGTGTCCACAGATCTGACGGGGGACTTTGTAAGAACCGTGGCTGAAGCTGTGGATCTGGCGTTCTGGTTCCAGGTTTGGTTCTCTGCAGACCAGTTTCAGGACGTGACCTCTGAGCTTCACGCTGACGTCCAGAGTTCTGACTGTCTGGTCTGTAAGAGGCTGCAGTTTGTGCTGCTGCTGAGATGTTCTGCTTTGTACCAACGTCTGTCTTCCTGTGGGTCGCCGTCGTTGGTGCGACTCTAAGTAAGAGGATTAACAGAAACACTGGAGGCAGAAGGTCCAGCAGCACCACAAACCGCCTGAGCTCCAGATGCTGGTCCACCGTCTGGAGTTTGTCATTTTCTTGCTGCCAATTATGCAAAAACTCTTGTTTGCGACTGTCTGATGAGTTTCACTGAGAGGACGACGGCTAGAGTTCATCCTGAGCAGCTTCAGTCTGGACCTGCAGGACCTTCACTAGATCATCTGCCTTAAAAAACAGGTCCAACTTTACGACCCGATGGCCGTAGTCCAGCGCCAACCTGAAGAAAAGCAGTGGAAGCTTCGTGTGATCCCGCCTCGTCTAAACACCACGTCGACTCGTCACTACGTTATTGCACTGGCTGAAGGACTTGCATCACTGTTCTGCAGGTGGAGGTTCTGACCCGCTGGACCACGGCCACCTTCTGCTAAAGTTGCACCACAGTTTCCATTTACTTCATCAGGTCCCACAGATATACAATCCCTGCCCTCGGCATGCAAACAGAAGAGACCAGAACCGATCGGAACAGAACCGCAGGAAGGTTTCAGGACTCTGGAGGACTCAACGTACCAACAGCTTCAGTCCCAAGGTGCTTCAAGGAACACCTGCAGCCTGAAGCTCCACCCATGAACCGTCCAGTCTGAACCCTCCCTGGGGCTGATCCCGTCCGACGGCATCAGTAACTAATAATCACTTTGCTGGCTGATCAATAGATCTCGAGTGGACAACGACTCGCTGGTTCAGAAAACACCGGAACCTGGAACCCGGAGCAGCTGGAAAACCAATCGTCTGAAGGTCTGAACGTTTTGGAGCTGTTGCTTTACAGACATGTAGCCAGTTGTGCTTGTTGTTATTTCATCGGGAACCATCAGGAACCA